TGTGTCCTCACTGGGAATCGAACCGGCAACCCTTTTGTTCACAGCCCACGCTCAATCCACTGAGCTACACCAGCCAGGGCATATTTTACTTTTTAAATGGAGTAAAAGTTTGAGACCACTGGGAGCTAATGCAGTTCATGCCTGTTCACGGAGAGGCGCCCTGAGGAAACCGGAACGGCCCCGGGACCAGGCGGGCGTTGGACTGGTGTCTGCCGGAGCAAGGGATGAGATACCGTGTGTCCGTCTTCATTGCATCTAGCCCTAAAGGTCACTTCTTTTAGACTCCTTACATCTACTTTTAACCAGTAAAATGAGAGAGTAAATGCATTTTGAACCTCCTTTAAAATGGGGTGTCAGTAAGGAAATTTTATCTAACTCTTCAAGTACAAATCTAAATGTCATCCTTTTCCTAAGGCAAATATTTCTACCCAGTTACATGCAAAGTCTTTTATTGCACAGAGAAGAATGGATCTTACACCAAAGGTTCTTGTCGCAGGTTCTCTTTAGTCCCACTGATGTGGGGACGATTTAGTTTGATGATAAAAAGAGGTGTGTAAAACCACCTCATCTGACAATCTGTGCCGATTTTGGTGCGTCTGAAATGATCGTTTACTGTACGCTTGACTACATTGTTTGGGGCTGAAGGGAACGGAACGGACTAGCCCAGATGCATCTGATCATTGACAGGCAGAGGTGTTTAAATCAACAACTACAACGTTATGAGACAGATGCACTCCCACTAACCATGGCTTTTGCAGCCTGGCCCACGGTGCTTCAGAATGCCGTGGTTTTATGCTTTTTGTAAAATGCAAACCATATCCTGTGACACACTGCTGACACAGGAAAGAGTGTGTAAGGTAGTAAGAGTTCAACTGGTTGCATCTGCAACAGAAAATTCCAGGTAAATCCTTCTTTTCTTCCTCTGGGAGAGAAGCAAACCTGCCTGGATTCGTTTACTGCATTCGAGGCCTGTGTTAAAGTGCATTTCTGCAAAGAGCAGGCCCGAGAACAGAGTCATCAGCGAAAGGTCCCGTCCCACTTGGCTGATTCTGAGGCACAGGAAACAGGTGTGTGAGTTAGTTTGCTCTCCGGCCATAAACACTCTCTCATTTGCCTGGAAGGGGTAATAATGGATTCATGGGGAACGTGCAACTTCCCTTTGGAAGAAGAAGGAAATGCAGTTTTCAAAATTGATTTATGCCTCATTCAAAAACTGGTGGGAACAAATGGTATTTCTGACCCGGGAACCATAAACAGAATAGAACAAACATACTTTGACTTTTTTTCTTTTCCAATACTTAAGTATATCGAGGAGGGACTTTTCGTGTTGTCCCGGGATGAAGGACTTGAGGCTAAACTGAGGAGAAAGGAGAGTCATGTGCCCCCTTTTCCTAATCCCCCCTCCTTTCTGCAGGGAGAGAAGATGGGGCCGCGGGAGAGGGCCACACAGGGGCTCTGCCCCTGCCCCAGACCCTCACGTCTGCAGGAAGTGGGACGGGCACCCCTTTCCCTGGCAGACGCCGGCTTGCGTCCCAGTGTTCAGCGAGCTCATGAACGTGAGGGAGGGAGAATCAGAGAGGGACGGCAGCACCGGAGAGCAGCATTCACCCCCATGCCTGGATTCCCTGCCCCACAGCTGATGGCTCAAAAAGATTTGAGCCATTTGTCTGGAACCCCAAGAAAGGAAACCCAAGAAGCTAGAGGATTCTCGGGAAACACGGCAGGGAGGATGAAAGAGATTTTCTGGGAGAATATGAAGAGGGCTGTCCCTCTCTCCCCACAGGAGATTTTTTCCACGTCTCTACCAACCAGCTCCCTGGAGGATGTGCGGGACCAGGTAGAACTATTTCAGAGAACGGGGGGCCCCGGGGGGCATAAGGCTGAGCTGGCAAGAGGGGAGTTCCGGACTGGATGGCTTTGTCACAGCTGGATGTGGTTCAAAAGAAACGAGATGTGTCCAGGACGCTGTTAAGGGACAGGGGTGGGAGCTCTGTCAGCGCGTGGTGGGCAGCGGCAAGGTCTCGGGGACAGGGACAGTGCAGTGTGGGACTTCTTTCCTCTAGTAGATAGTGTTCTTCCTGCCTCCTAAAGAAATTCTCTCTTGCTTTTTCTTGCACTTTCTCTTTCCTTATTTCAAATGTTGTCCTCACTAAGACATCTATCGGGGGTTTAAGACATAGAGAACTGTGGCATGAGCTTCCTTTCCCTCGAGGTTGCCATCAAAGTCCCCCCAAGGCTCTCGAGCCTAAGGAATCCGGCCCATGAATTCCAGGGCGTGACCCTCCATTCGGGGGAAATAGAGATTTCAATGAGATTTTTTTATGTATCAAGTGTACACTGTTATTTGGTACTTCATTATTTCTCCATGGAGTATTTTATTTCCATAGTCCTGCTTTTATTTTGTTTCATTTCCTACTAATATCTTCACAAACAGATGGGGCTGGCGATTGCTTTGAAAATAAAGGGGGACACGAACCCACCCAGGGGTGATTCATCGCCATTCCGTAGTCAGCAGGGAGAGCAGACACGTCACCAGGGTGTGGCAGGGGCAGACCAGACTGTGTCACCGCCGGCTCGGACTTCGAGTCGACCGCAAGGAGGTGCACGAGCCAGTTATTTCCCCTGCGCGCTCATTTCATCGGTGCAAACAAGTCTTCAAATTTCATTAAGTGGCTTTGCATAATCTTTACTGAGGTCCTCATTCTGTGCTTTTTGTTCCTGATGTCTTTTGTGTTTTTACAGCTGCCAAGGTTAAATTCCTTTCACGTTCATTAGTGCTTACGAAACTCAGTCATGCCTTCCCCCCCTCAATTCTAATGGCAAATTCATCCTCGTGAAAGTAATTGACCGAACCTAAAAAAATGACTCTGGTGAAGGAAAAAGATATTATATAATTAGAAGAGCCGAACATGTCGTAATTGAGCATGAAGAACACTGTTGGATTGTTCTGTGTTCATTAAACAAAACATTTATTAAGCACTCGCTGGTGTCAGAACAAATGTCGGGTCTCAGGGATGGCGGTAAACGAGACACGACTCCTTCCCTCACGGAGTGCGCTGCCTGCGAAGGATTAATGAGTACCGTTTGGCGCTGTAGTGTTACGGAACAAGGTCTAACGTCAAGAAGCCGAGGAAGTCGTGAGTAGCCCCAGGGTCAAAGAGTAGATCAGGCCTAGGAGACGAAGGAGCAGCGTTGGGCAAAGGCCTTGGTGTTCGAGTTTGCATTCAGGGAAATGACAGGCTGCCCCTGGCTGCAGCCAGGAGAGGTGGAAGGGGAGGGACCCAATGGCCTTTGAGAGACCGGTCTGAAAGCTTTGCAATGACAGGGGCGCTCCCTTCCAAGGCACCCCACCGCGTTCCCATTCCGGTGCCTAGAGTTAGATTCCCACATGGCTCTGGTACCCTCGTGTGACCGTGATGCGAGCCCGCGCTGCCTTTTGGATCTCAGAACAAACCCAGACGGATTACGAGCCTCCTCTCTTGAACTCCCAGCTCTTTACATGGATTCTGTCTTTGCCAAGTAGGCCCGCGCCAAGCGGTGACGTGGTGCATGACCAAGAATTTTATTTCTGTTTGCCAAAGGGAACATTGTCCCTGCTGGTAACAGCCTTTCTTAGCAAGTGGTCACCAGGCACAGCCAGATGCACTCGGTCATCCAGTGTTTTATTTTCCTGTTTCCCAAAAGAAGTGGTAACATCACAGAAAGGTAAAGGTTTTAAGAGCGTTACTGTTCGGCAGTTGGCAGGCGTGTTAAAAGAGGCCGTAAAACACAGCAACGGGGAGGACCCGAGAGCAGAGTCCCAGAGGAAGCTAACGTTTACGGAGAGATGACTGTCATCCGGCATCTGCCCGGCGATTTGTCTCCATTACCTCATTTTGTCCACCCCAGTGAGGCCGAGAGCGTTTTCTGCAGAAGCGGGAAAGAGTCACTGAGAAGTTCAGTAGCTCACAAGATTGCCGTTAGAATTCAGATCTATCAGACCCCAGGGCGTCCTCAGCATCCCGAAGAGGAAATGAAGAGAAATGAAATACATCTTGAAAATACAGGGTTTAAGAAAACTTATGCACACTTTGATAACATCGATAAGTATCTTATCTCCCTAGTAATCCTTTAGAGAAAACTCGAAGTTTAAAAAGGCTTTTGAAACCCTGTAGATGGTTGATGTGACTTGTTACCTGCGTAGGCCCACTCAGAATCCATGGAGATTATGAAGTATTTGGATTTTTATAGATTTATCCCCTTTCTTCCTGAATGTGTATTTCCCGTGCTTGCCAGAGTTCACAAGCTTTATTCGGCAAAAGTAATTGGAATTGTACAAAATGGGGGAAAGGGCTATTGGATATTTAGAACAAACTTTTCCTAGGTTGAATATTTTATAAGCAGACAGGTCCAGAATAAAAGAAACTGCACTTCCTGTTTAAATGTATTTTCTTAATACTTTTGGGATCCCTTTTGGAGACCCTGACTTGTACCACAAAGAAATAGTTTTTCTTCACAGCCGTACAGTTGGAAGAAAGCCACTAGCATGATATATAGATAGAAATTAAGAATATATTTTCTATGAGTCAAATGGCTGAGTTGACATGTACCCATTGATAATTTTTTTAAAAAGCAAACTCAGCTACAGCTGCCAAGCGGTCCCCATAAATGAGACAAAGCGGGCCACACTGTCGATTCTACAAAGCCAGGGTTGCGTTTGGCCGTGCGTGCCCACACAGACGCCAACAGAGACCAAAAGTCAATGCACGGTCAGAAGAGATGCTCTCATTTATGGGACTGTGGGAAACTCCTACTTTCTAGGAAGCTTCTCCAGGGTGCGGGTGTGCGCGTGTCTGTGGTACCCGCATTTGTAAGGGGCGCCCGCACCTGGGCCGCCACACAGACACTTCCAGCTGGGACGCCCGCTTCCCCGCGGCGGCAGCCGCCGTGTTGGACCCACATTCACCGATTTTCTCTGTGTGTTGTGTGTGTCCGTGCGTGTGTGTGTCCGTGTGCTGCAGGGAAGGCCAGCAGTCCCCGGAGCAGTGGCAGAAGACGTACGGCAGATGCTCTGGCAACGAAGTGTACCACATCACCTTGGAGGACAGTGCGTTCTTTGCGGAATACGAAGGAAAGAGTTTTACATATGCTTCTTTCCACGCACACAAAAAGTATGTGTCTGCTTCCAGGGTGGCGTGAAAATACGACTCCATCGGACCTTTTCAATGTGGTTTTCCAAAACACAAGTCGTGTTGGTCGGTGCTCATGAGTGGCAAATATTCTGAGGTTTCACGTCATTACTGAGACATTTGAACTTGGGCCTGGTGGGTGGTCCCCACAAGTTCAGACAACCAGGGATACAGTGTAATTCAGTAGAAATATTTACTTTAGTGACTTTTAAATTATCTTTGAAAGATTTTAATCCATTAAGAATTCACAATATATAAAAATGAATCTTTTTATAGATCTGAATTTTAAACTGTTGATTAAAAATTTAAACAAAGTAATAATGAAAGTTATAAAAACTAGACATTTTAAAAAACTTGTTTTGGCAAGGGAAATAGGTTAAAAAAAGATAGTTCCTTCTAATTCAAACATAGAACATTATTTTATTTTCTTTTTATAACATATTTACTTTAGAGATAAAAAAATTTTATCAGAATAATGTATTATCAGTATTATAAGTATATTAATATAACATTTTTAGGGTTTGTAATATATCTGGTATATTTCACTAATCCAATATCCAATGTACTCACTCCATGCTGAGCCTCAATATGATTTCATTTGTATATATACTGTTGATGTTTAAAAATATTTTAAAGCTTGACTTATTTATAATATTATAAGACATGTCAAAATATACATATTCAGGACATTTTGTTTTTGGAGCATAACCTGGAAAAGTAGAAATTTTTAGGTAATGTTTGTTACAGTCAGTGGTTGTTATTTCTCCTAATTAAGCTACGCACTTATTCAAGACTATTTGAAATGTGTTTTTCTAACATTTAGAGTAAACCAAACATGGTAGAAACAGAACAAAAATAAGTGTAAGGACCCCGATTCTTTCTCATACGATGTTGGGTAAGTTCCTTCCTCTCCATTAGGCTAACGGCTCTCAAACATTTTTAACTAAAGTAAGAAATACTGTTTTACCTTTTTTGACCAACGTAAGGTGTGAGTTTTATGATAAACTCCAGTACACACACACACACAAAATTTACTAACGTTTATTGCCCTTACTATATGGTATGCACTCTGATGTTTTCTATTCTCTTTTATTCTTCTTCATGTATGTACATAAATATATGTAATAACCAGCTAGATTGGTTTCTCAACACACTAAGGACCCAGTTTTCCTTAAAAAAACACGAGTCTTAAACTTTCAGGATACTTTCAAGCTTTAAAAGGCTCTGACTGGGGGCTTTACTTTTCACCTGCTTTTTAAGAGTTGAATTATTTTCTGACGTATGCAAACTTAAGAAAACAACACTCAGACCTTTGCTGAATTACAATCCTTAAACTCTTCTGTTGTCTTTTTTGTATTAAGGTTTGGTGTCTGCTTGATTGGTGTTAGGAGGGAGGATAATAAAAACATTTTACTGAATCCAGGTCCTCGATACATTATGAATGCCACAGACATTTGTTTTTACATCAATATAACCAAAGAAGAGAATTCGGCATTTAAGCAGCAAGACCAGCAGAAAAGAAGCAAGGCCTCTCGGTCGCTCTACCACGGACCCTCGCGGCTGCCTGTGCACAGCATCATTGCCAGCATGGGTGAGAGCAAACGCACTTGAAAAGGCTACTGGTTTCTTCCTAAAGATATGATAAATATACTTCAATTGTATGAAAAGTTCAAGGTCAAATTCAGAATACACGCTTTGGTGTAACTAAATATACAGAACATGGTTCTAAGCTGTTAAATTGGTAAACAAAAAAAATATTAAGCTCATTCAAAGCAGCCAACAATTGTTTTAGATTCCCTGTGAGGACCTAAGAACCTGCCGGGTCTGTACCCCATTCGTGGGGACTCCCCTCACACACCGGGGGGCTTTCCCAAGTATTCCTTGTTTTTCCCAGAACTCCCCTTCCATCCCTTATCTCGTTCTCACCATTCGACTTGGCTTCTCGGACACAGAAGTTAACTTATAAGAAAATCCAGACAAGTAACTTATAAGAAAATCCAGACAAATCTTCCCACCGAACTTCCTACAAACCTACACATAGAGTTTCTGTCACAAGAAAAATAAGTTCTTTCTTTTGACACATCTTAAGGCGTTTGCATATGCTACAGACCTGTCTCTCTTTACTTCACGGGACTTCACTCTTTACTTTTAATTCCTCCACATTATCTAACTTCACCCCCCCAACACACTGGCAAATTCCTCTCTCTCCCTCTCTCTCTCTCTCTCTCTTCATAATTCTACACACACACACACACACACACACACACACACACACATACTCTGGACCAACATCTTTGTAGATAGATTTCTCCAAACGGTTGTCTTCGGTTCCTGGCTTGAAATCTTACTGTTCCCTCTGGGGACCTTGGGAGTCAAAGAAAGAGAGTGAATAGATTGACAGACCGTAGACCTCCTTTAGGGAAGAAAGTGAAAGACATCTGTTGGTTGAAGGGGACTGAAAAGTAGTGGATGAATTGATTATACTTCCCTCCAGAAAGACGGCAGGTGATGGTGTCGGGGAAAGAGGCCGGACACAGGGGCGAGCAGCCGTTAAGGAGCCGTCACTAAATCGAGGCTATGACCCTGAGTGGGAAGGGCCTTAAGCGGTCTAGACTTGCTGTGCTTACTTCCCCGGGTTTCCCCGGGCCTCTGCGCTCACCATTGTCTGTCAGACCAGACGTCAGTTGTCGTGACTTCAGAGTTGCCTGTTGGCCACAGGGACAGGTTCCTTTGTCCTCCTGTCCCCAACCCCGCTGTCCTTTATCGCATCATTCTGCGCACTTTCTGTGTGGTATTTGTCATCGCCTAAAAGGACTCTTCTTATTTATTTGTCTACTTGCTTATTTTAAAGGTAGATCCATACATTTAGAAGCCTTGTCTGTCTTATTCCCAGCGGATGTCAAGTTCCTAGAATTGTACTTGTCACATAGTAGGTACTCCATAAATATTTGTCGTATAAATGTAAAATATGAATGGTCCTATGATAAAAAGTGGTTACAGATAAGAGAAAGATAAGTCACCAAAATGGAGGGAAGGATAATATAATGAGACATCCGAAAACTTGAAATACCCAGTAATTTGTTGATAATTTTATATAAATGTGTATTGAAACAAGGGATATTCTTTTACTGTAAATTCCTAAGCATTTCGGCATTTCACAGATCTTACATTTTGTGCTATAGAGCTAAACTCAGCAATAAACTTTTACACCAATACAGTATTTTTTGTCCAGGTGGACAAAAATGCCCACAGGAAAAAGATGTACGTAACCTTTGAGATGAAAGGGGAAACGAGCTTTCCTTGTCACACTGATGGCTTTTCATGTCACTTCGATCGTGAAATGACGGACACGTCACAACTGTGGCAGGCGCCCTGACGGCTTTTCCTGTCTCGTTGCGCCAGGTACCGTGGCTATAGACTTGCAGGACACAAGCTGCCGGTCGGCCAGCGGCCCTACCCTGGCCCTCCCCGCAGAAGGGGTCAAGGAGGTCAGAAGGCCCAGCATTGCGCCTGTTCTGGAGGTGGCAGACACGTCGTCCATCCAAACCTGTGATCTTCTCAGCGACCAGTCAGAAGACGAAACTGCGCCAGATGAAAAAATGTCCTCAAACTTAGAGTACGTTTGGACACTCTCAGATTTCCTGGGATCTGTGCTCGCCTTGGGAACCACTGTCACCCCAGAATGAACCCCAGAATCAGCCCTCTACATTTCCACATTCCTACCAGGCCAGCCTTCCGGCCAGGCAGTGGCGGTCTGGAGGACAAAGTAGCTAGGCCCTCAGATTTCCGATTCCTATTTACAGGGTAGGGGCAGAAGTAGGTTCACGGTGCTGAGTGCTTGAAACACAGTTTACTCTTGTATTAGCATTTATTAATGACTGTATTATATTCCATATGAACAACTGTAAACCCACTTTTGCCCCACCCTGGATATTTCCAGGCAGTTTTCTCTAACAGATCCTTTATCCTTAAAGAAGAAAGAACCTAAATCAGTATTTGCATGATAGAAGCTGCCTTTTGTAATTGTTGGTTTGCAGTAAGTTCTATTGTACCTTTTACCTTTAATTCACTTTCTCCCATGTCCGTGCTGAAGTTCAGTCAGCTACTCAGTGACCCGTGACAGAGGTTCCTCCATCACACACCCCTTCTTATCTCCGTGTGCAGCAGGTTTTGTGTAATTTGCAGCGATAACGTTTTGAATAGGTGAATAAATGCTCTTGTTCTCTTTGCTCAGCTTCCACAGCAAACAGTCGCGATGCACACTCCGTTACCCATGTTTAGCTTTCAGCAGAGTTTGTTCACTTGGCACATCCCCGAGTTATATTTCTCTTCCGTGAGCAAAGCGCGGCGGTCAGCAGGCTTGGCGGGGGAGTCGGAAACCATGGGTCTTGCGTCTCAGTCCCCCTTTCTGGGGCTTTGTGTGAGGGAATTCGATCTAACAGTCTGACCCTCGGTGTCTTCCCCTGCGCACTGAGCACGCTCGTACGCGTTGGCCCCTAGTGTCCACACGGAGACTGAGACCCCACAGAAAATGCGCTCGTGAGGATGCTTTCTGTGCAGAGCACGCATTCAGGGGGTGCCGGTTATTAGGGGGTGTCAGTAGTGGTGATGGCAACACCATTCAGACGCTTCTCCCAGTGTTTCTCATAAAGCAGGCAATCAGAGAATGCTGGATTAAACCGGGATTAACTAAAATGTAATGGAAACTTGGGAAAATCCTTCTTTAATTCTTCCCACTTTTTACAAATGTAGTACATGGAACTTTGCTGTAGCCACAGAACACAGTCCACTCTGAGAAATCAAAAGTGCTCCAATGTATTGATGAGATATTTGCTAGACACAAAGAGAGGTTTGACCCCCAGGGTATTGCCAGCAATGGTGTGGTGGGGTGTATGGAAATTTTTTCTTCGCGCAAAGCTCTGAAAGGATTAAGAGGTAGAGAGGTTCTATTTTTAGAAAACAAAAAAGAAGTGACAGTGAGAATTCTCAACTTTTAAATTTGCAAAATGTGCTCCTTTGAAAATAGTTTCAACTAGATTTGAATTTTTTTTATTAGAAGGTAAAGTTTTTGTCAAGAAAACAAGGAGAGCGTGTTCATATTGAACACAGGAATTTTGCCTCCAGGAAATTTCCTTTTATTTCTCAATTTTCATCCAAGCTGGTACTTTTTGACAGTCTCAGTCTGGAAATTAGCACAGCCAAAATGTGCCGGTGGCTCTTTTTCTAAGTCAGCAAACTGAATATCCTTGGCAGTATTTTAAGCACGATTCCAGCAAAACCTCTTTTGGGTGGGTGTTTAACTCAATAATTAATTCAATATTTACTCCTTGTCAGTAATGCACCCGTAACTAATGCATACTGATAGAGTGAATCATGATAATAGATTTTGCTTTAAATGTGTTCCGTGAAAATTAACATTACTATTTTTAAATCTATCTAAAGCTTTTAAACTGAAGATTGGCCACGTCCTTTTGTAAAGCACAGTAAATATTTCCAGCTTTTTGCACCACGTGGTCTTTGCCGCAGCTGCTCCCGTCTGACTGGAAGCGGGAGCACGTCTGGAGGAAGCCCCGTAAACGAAGGGCTTGTCTGTGTTCTGAAACAACTTGTAGATGCCGACGTTTGAATTTCACACACCATGTGATGTGTAGTAGTAGTCTTCCTTTGACGTTTTCCAACCACTGAAACATAGAAAAACCACGTGTAATTCACAGAACCAGGCGATGGGCCCTGGTCTGCCTCCCCCCATTCTAAATCCACTTCCTTATCGAAATGTAGCTACAACGTGAAGTCACCGTGTCTGGCTTTACCGACGTAGAGGGTCGTAGCTGTGACTCAGTCGTCCCGCTCTGCCCGTGCCGTTCAAGGTGACGCAGAATCTCGTATTGCTTTGCAGGTATGCTAAAGGCTACCCGCCCTACTCTCCCTACATAGGGAGTTCGCCCACGTTCTGCCATCTCCTTCATGAAAAAGTGCCATTTTGCTGCTTGAGACTAGACAAGGTAAGCATTTGCTACTGTTATTTCCTGCACATTTAAATTATGCTTTTTGGTGCTGGCTGGTGTGGCTCAGTGGATTAAGTGCTGGCCTGCAAACGAAAGGGACGAAGGTTTGATTCCCAGTCAGGACACAGGCCCGGGTGAGGGGCCAGGTCCCCAGTAGGGGGTGCTCGAGAGGCAACTACACGTTGATGTTTCTCTCCCTCTCTTTCTCCCTCCCTTTCCTCTCTCTAAAAATAAAATAAAATATTTTTAAAATTACTCTATTTTGTAATTGCATATAGTCAAATCAATTTTACAGCCTATTACATATGAAATAATTTTGTACACAGTAAACTAGGTTCGAACATATTATCTTTGCAAATGTAAGTGTAATACATAACACGGTGAGTTTTACCTTCATCGCGGCATTAAAGTTGTCCAGCTGCTTTATCTCTCTGTGAAATTACCCGATGACTCAGAGGTGCCTGGCTCTCAGACCTGCGGACTCTCATGTCCAGCGGCCACAAAATCCCTCCCTGTATTCTGTGCTGGAAATGTTCCAGGTTCTTTAATTATACTACCACTTTATGTATGGAAATGAAGTATGCCTTCAGCTTCATTTTTCCAGCCTCACTGAAGTATGATTGACAAGTAGAAGTTATATATATCTGCAGTATGTAATATGATGTTTTCATATATGTAAACATTGCGATCACTTTTAGATAGAGACACCTAGCGATGAGTTTACTTTACAGTAGAACATGGGCACACACATGTTGCTGATTCTTCCTCCCTCCACATTAGGAGGAAGAAGCACATTACATATTTGCAATTGATTTGTCTGATCATGCACATCATTGCCCAAAGCATGCTGGAAAGGTGAACATAGGAAAATGTAACTATTTTCAAATCTGTTAGGAGATAAAGAAGTTACTGGGTTAGATTAATTTTATATATCCATGTATCCTAATTTTTTTCCACCAAATTTTAGTGGGGTATGAACACCGCATTTCTTTGTTTCATTTTTCTTCTTTAGAGTTGTCAGCATAACTACTATGAAGATGCAAAAGCCTATGGATTCAAAAATAAACTAATTATAGTTGCAGCTGAAACGGCTGGAAACGGATTGTATAATTTTATTGTTCCTCTCAGGGCGTATTATAGACCAAAGAAAGAACTCAACCCCATCGTTCTGCTATTGGATAACCCGTAAGTATACTTACAAGTAAATAACACCAGCAAGATGAAGAGTGCTTAACATTATATCAAAAATAGTTTGTTTGCATTTGCTTATAATATTTTAAATCAGACACATTATGGCACGTGATGCATTTGGCGATGTATCCTGGGCTGCGGTACAAGTTCATCACTGAATGTGGTTGTATCTCACAAACACAACTTGAAGCATTGCTGGAATACCCTGAGCTTTTTGGTTGGAACTATTTTGCAAGTGGTCATCACTCCACACCAGTGGGCACACGCCACCAAAATAATTACAGTTATTTCCTCAGATTAATCAACTAGACTGGAAGGGCTCTGCCCCAACTGGGTGCTTCGCTGTCTTTCTAAAGAACCGTTAATTATCAGAAAGCACATTAATGGCCCGTTTTCCGTTGTGCCGTGAGTTATGATGGCTCTTTCACTGTTAGAAGGATACCTTTGCTAATGTAACACGAATCAGGAATGCTTTACCCTGCTCACTAACTTGGAAAATGTTGGGTTGATGTACTCTTGTGAAATTAGACGATGCCAGCATTTCAAAATCCTTGTGCAAATATAAATATAGGTCACTGAATGCTATTATCAAACGTACTGCATCCTAAAATTATAATATGCCTCTCTGTGACTGACAATTAGCAGCAGATGGCTGCTGGATCAGTACCACAGTTTAGGAGCCTCCAACTCTCCTTTTCCCTTCCAAAGTGATGCAAATTTCAGGATGAACTGAATGAGGCCAGAATCTGTTGCCTTGTCTCTGCCTTTAAAATGTATCAAATGAAGTTTCTCAAAACAGAGATATCTCCCCAATATGTAACAACTTCATGGTTTTGTCCATTCTGAACATACCAATATCGAGGTATTTACTGATGCATCCTTTTTTAGCATCACTGTTACATTGATGCTCGACTCTAAAAACTGAGCAGACTCCTAGAGACTTCAGTTTAATTATTCTCACGTATGATGACCCATGGCTCTTTGATACTACGTGGGCATCCCAGCACAGGTGAGGTCAGTGTAGGGCAGGTGACGGGGAACAGAAACTTGGACCTAACGTCAGGAGAAATAGAAGCTTACTCGTTTCATACGCATCTTGGGAGCGTTAGAGGTGGGTTGTGGGGTGGCCACGGCAACAGAGCGGTTGCAAAGCCCGCCAGGGCCCTTGACTGGATGCTGCTTTGGGGACTTCTCTGCTGGACAGTGCTAAGGGACTGGTGGAACTGTCACACAGAGATGCCCACTTAACTACGTGAAACCAAACGTGTCATTTTAGCTCCTTTTTGCTTAAGTTGAGCCACTCTCTTAGCGACAGGATTGGAGACAGGGGCACCTGCAAACCGACTGCCATGGGCCACCCCCTTCTGGTGTGGCCTGCACCAAAGGGGTTAACTCAGGCCCCAGAATGTGGAAGGAAGGCAGAAGGAGACTTGGAAAGGGAGAAGCGTTACTGTGCTTATGGCATCGCTGTGGTAAAGTGTACGAGCGGTCCTTCCCCCACTGCTGTGTGTATCTCCTGTCTGCATCCTGGACCCCGATTCAATGTGTGTTGGGGGTGGGAGTCCCCCTGCCTCCAATAAGCAATGCTGACTGGGGACGCCAGCGGGGGTCCTCCAATTCATCCCAGTCCCGATACCAGCTGCCCAGAGATAGCATCAGCTCTCACGGGGTAAGGGCTCAGTCCTATAAGAATGTCCCCCACCCCCTGCTTTAGAAGCCAACTGCAAATTGCAAGCCCAGGTCAATTCCAGAATTAGAACTTTCTAGGCCATTCATAGTTCCTTGTTCTTTTACCTATATGATATTATCTAACTTACAGGTTTTTGATAGATACAAAAAATACATGGTCAGTTCTTTTTAGAAACAAACATTGTGTTTTAGCTTTGGGTTACTTTGCATGAAAAATTTCCTTTGCTTCTCTAATGACTTAACATTTTACAGTCCAACCGTTCCCATGACACTGGCTGTTGGAGGATTTTTGTGGGGTCTGTTTTCTCCCAGAGGGTATAACTGCAGGCTGTAAAATTTACTAGCTTCTGAGTTCTTCCCGAAAGTGGTATCTAATATTTTTATTTGCTGTCCTCTGTCCCTTCAATCAAAAATGAGGAAGCAGAAACTAAACACCACCAAGTCATGTTCCAGGAAGGTTTATGGAATCCTTCTTCCAGGAAGGCGATCGGGTTGTTCTGCAGTGGCTAGTGCCTGGCAGCGTGCCCTACACCGCTGCTAAGAAATACCAAACAGAATGCTTATTTCTAAAAAGGTTTCCATGTTCTAAGAATTCGCACCCTAGTGATTGTCCACGATGCACGTATTAGTTAGCTTAGTGGGATTGGACTTTGTTTTAAATTCACGAGTATTGATGAAAATAATTTGCAGTACATGGCTATCTAGGAAATTTAGTTGAAAGACCGATTAATTCAATATAACAGAAAGAACAACCGATTTAAAATCCTGGTAAGTATGGGGTTTGAGTATATGAATTACATTTATAATATTCACACATAACATGTCAAAATATGTGTTCACCATGTTTTCGAATAGAAAGCCTTCCAGATCCCTTACGGCGATTAAATAAAATCAGCCTCACGGGAAAACGCCTCGCACTTGGCATTGGTTCCTTAGAGCCGGTCTGAGTTCGGACTGGTTGGCCCTCCACTTTGTTTGGTCTGTTGTTGTGCCGTGATGATTTCATGACGATTTCTACCCCGACCTTGAAGGTCACCTGGTCACCTGCTCGCAGCGTTTCAGGAGAAATGGGAAAGAGAGGGAAGAGCTTTGGACCATGTGACCCACAGCAAAGCAAAGTCGAAGGGCAAGGTCTAGGCATCTGTCCCTGATTTTTACAGCATCAGGGTTGCACTGGCCCTTTACCGAGTCAGTCTTCTTTCCCCAGAGAGAGTCCAGCAAACGCAGCTCTGCTGATCTCAGAAGTCACGGTCAAGGGTCTGGCAGGCCAGCGTTCTCCTTAAAGGCATCCTCGCTTCGGCCTCACACAGACAGGGGACCAGGTTTAAGTCCAGCCTCTCGACAGGCCTGTTGTCGCTCCCCGATTTTCTCTCTACACCCCAATTTTCTCATTAGGAAAATGAGTACAACATTTATCTTAACACTGGTGCAAAATTGGACTCATGAAAGTCAGCCAGGAAATGACAGGTCCCCTCCCTTCCACCACTCGAGACGTCGACACTGCCAGGGTTCTGACTGATGCGCGGGCTGGCGCATGCACCCCCGGTCAACGGGGAGAGGGAGATTTATCCCAAGTAGTGGAAATGTAACTACTCTTGTATTTTCAGGGAGGAAATAACCCACTTAACGGTGAAATTATGAAATGCTAACAAAATAAACTGTCTCGCTGCCTTCATTTCTTGAATTTGAAATAAAGAAATTAAGTTTATTATAGGAATTCGTAAAGTGGAAAAATAATGATCTTCGAGTTTTCAAATCCATGCAAATTCACAAACCTTTTCATTTCCTAGTAATAGCTAGCTAATTGATATTTGCGTGTGGTGGCAGTTTTTACAGTGAAAGGTTTTTGTGAGGACGTGATGCTCTCGGCTCATGAGGAGGAGGCCTCTTTCTTTAAAGATGAGGCGAGGTCACACTTTGACTAGTGCGGTGCACCTCTTATTTCTGTAACTCCCACCAATTATTTTATACTTGTTGAATTTTTATTTTTTATTACTAGTTAATTTCAGCACGTTTTGTTCAACAATGCGTATTGAGAAATTCAATAATTTCAAAGTTGAATTACTTTTACTTAGGCTTTTTACAATGCATATATTCCATGGGTACATACACCATATTTATTTATTGATCTGCTGATATATTAAGGGGTATAATTCTGTATCTTCTTTGAGAAAGCTGCTCTCAGTAGGCAGGCTAATTTAGTTTCTTTGGGTCAACCAAGAAAAAACTGACTCATTTCTCATTTTACAAGGCCTTCTCTGGCCCAATAATTTTTAAATTCACTGCCAAGACGTTTTAGTCATAGTTAAGAGTATCAATTCAGTACTTTTGTAGCATCATGCCATAATGTTTCTGATTTACAAAGCTGAAAACGTGTTTTTATAATTCCGAGGCCACTGTATTATTCATAACAAGCACAAGTGATACTTCCTAATTAATGTTAAGAGGAAAAGAGTACCTACATAGATCTTGTCAGCGGTATGTAGTTCTGGAAATGCCGACTAAGTCAGTCGCCCTCCTTTCCCTGGGAGTGCTGCCGCCATTGTGACACTGTGTTTCATTTTGTGACCCACCCGCCACCTAGGCCAGAAATACACTTTCTGGACGCAATCTGTTGGTTCCCAATGGTTTACTACATGGTGGGCTCTATCGACAAGTAGGTGACAGAGTCTGGCACGCGAACCAGTGTGTGTCCTGTGGCCCGCCCCGCGCTGTGCCCCGTGTTGCATGACCAGTGGAGTGGGCTGTTCTGGCTGTGCATACGTGCTGTCATCTGCATGTGTGATGTCATCTGCGTAGGTGATGTCATCTGCATACGTGATGTCATCTGCATGTGGTGCGTGTCGTTCCGTGTTGTAGCCATCTTGCACTCGAACTCCCTGAGCAGTGATCTGTGGTGGCATCACAGCAAATCTGGCTGCATGTCCATTTTCTCCGTTCTGTCCGGTTGCTAAAGCTGCTTCAGCTTTGTGTCGCCTGCAGCAATAGCGTTGCTACTTCTGGTGTCCGGCAGAGAGAAGTCTGCAGCTTCAGCATGGCGGTGCACCGCCGCCATGCCCCTAACTTCAGGGAACCTCCCACATAGTTCAGAAAAGCTCCTTTTAAGTCAGGGTTACAGAATGGGGCCTTTCCTTAGGAGCGAACTTTAAGAACACATCTCAGGGTCCATCATTTCCGAAAATGTGTTCATTAAAAGGTCAAATGTGTACGATGGTTTAGTATTAAAATACAGTTCCTTGATATGCGTGCACATGACATTATAGAGATGTAAGTACTAACAGATCATAAAACTAATATGCTTACAAAATAGGTTAACTTTTTATTTAAAAAAATGCCAGTCAGAGCCTTCAAAATAAACTGTTTAACTTTATCAGTTGAGCACTTTCATGCTTACGCTTCACCCTGCGGGTGTTGAAAAGACAAAGTTATTAATGGGACAGTGTTTCAGCTGTGGGTGCATCGAAGACCAAACAGAGAGATACATATTTAGCCTCCATTCTACATTAACATTTACATCGTCACTTGTCATAACAGTAACCAACTAACCGCAGTGCAGTTAGATCTGTAAACATGATATAAATTTATGAAAGAGAACTTAATCCACACTTAATCAGTAGGAATGTTCCTTTGAAATGATAGTATTCAATTAAAATTCATTAGGGAAACAGGATGTTTAAAAGACAAGAAAGGAACCTCCCCCCATCTTTGCTTATGTAAACTATGAAATGAATTCGCCCTCTGTACAAGTGTGCACGGCGAGGAGAAGACCCGAGAGCATCTAATTCCTGTTTAAAGGACGGACACCAGGTTGGTGATTGTTGAAGCAGGTCACTGGTAGGTACGTGAGGGTTCACTATTCTCTTTTGCTCCTGTTCAAAATTTTTCTTGAAAACCCCTTTGAATTCAAACACACTCCTTTACACGTTAACATTCACGTTGTAGTTCTCCCGGAAAGTCTTAGAGAAGGCCTGAAAGGGAAACAGGGCCAATTACAGATGCTCTGTAACTTTTTCCATCCCCGTTGACTTTTTTCTTGCGCTGCCATCTGGTGGCCAAACTGTGTAAAGCAGCCACGCTGAAGATTGTTGGTGGGTGGTGGAAGAAAAGGTGCTAGTTATAAGAATACACTGGCAGCCTAATAAAATAGGAAAATAGAATATAATGCACTATTAAATGGATTTAAATATAATAACTTAAAGTTAAAATGCAAAGAATAAAAATGTTGCCCCAGGGTTCAGATACGCCATTCCAATCGGTTAAAAATATTTTTGATAGACTTAAACTCAAATTTAGTATCAGTTACTAATCTCACTTGCCCAGATTATATGTGAACAACAACAGCCAGTAATCTGAGTATGGAATTAGCTGATACCTTAAGGGATTAGCGGCCCAGTACAGGTACTATCATGGAGGAATTTTGTCAAATTTCCATTTCATTGACCTACTGCTGATGCCATGGTCATCTTTCTCACCATAACGTCTACCTGTACATCTTTTTCTAGGCAAGCCTACCTTCCACACCTATCTTTCCCTTCTCCTGTATCTATAAGTATAATGGACAGATTTTTATTTTTTTATGGTGGAGTAAAGATGTGATGAGCTGAATTATCCAAAAGTGATTTAAAATGATAACAAGGTGGTCTGAAGGCACACGACTGAGGCAGTAATTTTTATGGCCCCGAAGGGACCATATCACATCCATTTCCCACCTACTTCTTTTTTTCTTTATGTATTTTAATAGACGTAAGAACAACTGCAACGAATTTTCTAGATAAACGGAACATCCAAGCGTTCCTCGGGGTTTCACCCAGTCCCCACACTGACTGGGCGGCCCTCCTCCCCACAGCACGTTCATTTGGAGTAGCGTTCTGTCTGCACAGTTTTAGCCACAACATCCCTGCCCCAGAACACTGTTCCCGACTCAGATGCAGTATTTTTTCCGGACTCCTCCTGGAGATCCGGGACTCTGAGCCTCGGTGATGCTCTCGCGCCTTCTAACAGAGTCAGAAACCCCGCCTCCTGCCTCCCGCCTCCCGCGGGAGGCAGACACACCCCTCCAGCCAATTCCATCCGCACTTGGAGGAGGCCTTCAGGCACCTGACTCCCAAGGAGTCAAGACTCTCAGAGGAACTACTGTTCTTCACGGGTTACACCTCCCGCCTCAAATCAGACGCTGTGGAAACCAGCCAGCCCGATTCTCCTCTGCCCTGGACCACCTCCACACCTAGAACGACGCCAGACTCCTTCAAGTTCACTCGCTTACCCGGTCCAGACCCACTTTTCCAGTTTGTGGGAGGCACAGGCAATGAGGGAGTGGTGTCCCTGTGTCTGCTCCGATCGTGACATTTCCTTGTCATTCAGTAGCAGGCGAACTTCTCAGAGACAGAGACTCTCACCATCCATAGGGACTCGTAGGCTAGGTTAGCACAGTCACTTAACGCAACCCGGGAAATCAGGTTATTCGGTCACTGGCTCAAAAACTTGAGGCTCCTGGCTGGCGTAGCTCAGTGGATTGAGCGCGGGCTGTGAACCAAAGCATCGCAGGTTCAATTCCCAGCCTGGGCACATGCCTCATTGCAGGCCACGGCCCCCAGCAACCATACATTGATGTTTCTCTCTCTCTCTCTTTCTCCCTCCCTTCCCTCTCTAAAAATAAACAAATAAAATCTTTAAAAAATAACTTAAGGCTAACTCAATGGTAGGCTTGAGTACCACTGATATTTATATGTTGTATATGTTCTTGGCAGGGAAGAGCCAGTCTGTAACACAGAGCTTTATAGAAAGAAATAATAGGAATTCTAAAATAAACATCACGGTTTTATATATCTTTGTAAGGTATGATCATCCCAATTCACATAAGCGTTCATCTCTACTCTTACCAAAAACACCTTAGGGATTAAAAAAAGGGCACATGTCTTGGAAATGGCATGTTAACTGTACAAACATAGTTCTAATATGTTGGTACCACCTTTTACTAAAATAATTAAAAGTATTATTAAATACATTCGCACTGACACAGTCGAGATCTAATAAAATATAAAGAGCTCCAGAAACACACATTATCTCCCATCGGTAGAGAGCCCTGTCCGATAACGCCCACTAACATCCGCCAGGGCACGGGTCAGTGAAAGCCACCAGTGAGGGCCCGGGGGACCGCGTGTCTGGGCACCACCCCCTCCAGCCCTGCGCTCTGCTGAGAGTGCCCTTTCCTCTGCCGGTTCCCCTCCAAGCCTGGACGACCTGCTGCGGTGCGGGGTGACGTTCGCGGCGAACATGGTGGTGGTGGACAAGGAGAGCACCATGAGCGCCGAGGAGGACTACATGGCCGACGCCAAGACCATCGTGAACGTGCAGACGCTGTTCAGGTACCGAAAGCCGTGCCAGCCCGGCCCGGCCCGGCCCGGCCCGGCCCCCTCCCCCAGCAGCAGGTGTAAGAGGGCACGTGGGGCACTTGCACTGACATGACCGCCATCCACTGGCTCCTAAAACACATGTTTATTCAGTGCCCGCTGGTTGACTGGTACTGCGTGAAGCTAAATATTTGACACCAGGTCAGTAAATCATTTTTAAAAATAAGTAGAACAATAAATCTGTTTCCGTGTGTAGTTTGGCCCGGACAAAGCCTAAAAAAAAAGCATGTTCGGCAGCCGTCATGACTCGTGGTGGACTCGGCGCGCTCTCACGGTGGATTGGTGCCGACCGTGGCCGGAGGTGCGCGCTCCCGTCCTGGCTAGCGCGGAGGGAAAGGTCGCAGGCGGTGAGGCCCCGCCTGACCTCACCCGCACCCTGTTCCCGTCTCTGGTCAGGAAGCTCGCCCCGGCCCGAGTTCCCGCCGCCATCACCTTTGGGTGACAGGGCGCGACCCTGTCCAGAGAAAAGTCCGTGCTCTGAGCCCAGTCAGAGTCCCCCGTAGATCAAGACACCTGTGCCACTTGAGATAATGCTCCTTGAAATCACTTGAAAATGCAAATATCTGAACTGCTGTTTCAGTTCCATGAGTTTGGCGGAAGTCTCAGTGAAATATCTGAGCTCCCAAATGGCAAAAGTCACTAAAAAACCATCTGAACTCTGTGGTCGGCTCCCCTGGCTTCCCCCTCGTAGCTTCATATTGTAGCAAAAGCCACATTGATGGTGATTACTCGTTTACAGTTGGAGCTCAGAATTCGGAAGACAGTCTGGATGTTCGTATGACCTTCAGCAAATTACTTCCCTCCTCTGGACCTCGATGTCTTAAGCACAGGTTGTTAGACACATAAAAATACCCATGCCTGGTGCTTCTCAATCACTCAGCAAATGTGAGCAGTGGTAATTATCAGCAGCACCCTGCCATCTGAGGTGCCAGCAGACTCTAACTCTTAAACATGCTTCTTAACCTTATGGAAATGGTTTCCCTCATTTGTATAAAATGCATGTGGAAAGTAGTTAACCCTTTTGCGGTGTCCATGCAAAGACAGGAAATCGGGTACACAAAGATTCCATCACGGCACCTGGAAAATCGACCCTGAACTTGTTGTATAAGAACCTTTTGCAGCAGCAGGAGAAGTACCCGCTGTAAAGTACTCTAATAAGGAGGGGTATTCAGAATGGAGGGAGCACACTGAGCTATATAAAATACTGCACTTACAGGCAGCATAGCGCACGCTTAAACCATGACAGATACAAGCAAGTCTTTTCTCTGTAGAAAATAAAAAAGGAAATTACAGCCTAGAAAATTAATTCAGAAGAATAAGATTTATAGCTGGTGAATAAAGTAAAATTATACTTTTAAAAAATGTCATGCTAGGCAGAAGCTAATTATAGTTTTAACCGGAAAGGATCCTAGGTCGTTCGAATTAAACATGCCATTTTAATTTTAACTTTCTGAGAGTTTTTTTCCCATTATAGTAACGTTGCTATGGATGGGACTTTTACTATACATTATCTGAATGAATTATTTTGAGTCCAAGATAATAACATATCCCCATCATACGGAGAGCTGTGAGGGCTCTAATTGACCATCTAAAACCAACTGACCGGCCGGAATAACTAAGGGCGGCTGCGCACGTGGTGACGGACCCGCAAAGGCCGCGGCCCCTGAGCGCCTGGCCGCGGGTCACGAAAGGATGAATGGTGACTGGATGAATAACTCTGGATCCCTTCGCTGTTAAGTTTTCTTGTCTTCAGCAAAACAGTTTAGAAAGTGTGCAGTTTTTTACGTGCACAGGCCCATCTCGGCTGAAGAGTTTCAATCAGAAATTTCAGAAGAACTGTTAGATGCCCAAATTAGACACTGGTGTTAGGGACTGGTCTCTATTAGAAACCTGTAGTCTTGGGGCACTGGGTCCAGGGAACCCTGGGTCCCCAAATCCACAGTGCTCCAGTATTTTCTATAAAGTGGCATCGAATTTGCACATGACCTGGGTCCCACCTCCCGTACACCTTCGGTTATCTCCAGACTACTGATGTCTCATACAACATACAGGCTAGGTGGCGATTACACTGTGTTGCTAAGGGAAGAAGGGGAAGAAAAAATAATATGTGTTCAGTACAGATGGCTGGTCTCAGAGTTCTCCCAGAAGTCTGTGGAACAAAGTACATAGTCTATTTTCCATCTTTATATTGGTTAGCATAACTAGGCATGTCAAATTTTTTTTACCAGATTAATTAATTCAGGCAGAGACTACTCCTTAGGTATCTGACACTTCTCCACAACCATACTCCCACCACTGAGTCAGACCGTAAGTCAACTGTAGACAAATTTCAAGTAGGTCAAACTAGATTATTTTTCGGTTATATTATTGCTTCAGTATGAGCTTTGTAACCCAAGGAAAAGAGATTGATTACATCATTTAATTTCTAAAGTGCTCTATATGCAAAAAGTATCTGGGTCATGCTAAGGCTCAGAAACAGATACACAGCATGAGCACATTAAAGATACTTAAAATACACCTATGAGACAACTCGAATTTTAAGTATGAAATGTTATACGTGGATATGAGTAATACATGAGAAATCTAAGAGCCACTGCGGTGAAATGTCTTATTCTTTAAGTCTTATTTAGTCTTATTCAAGTCTCACTTAGTTTCTCGGTTTTCAGTAGGTGGCAGGCTTAGCTAACACATCTGGTTCCTCGGTTTCGAGTAACCAAAGCTCCAGGTGTTCTCACGCGGAGCCGAGCAGGCGCACGCCACACGTTGTTGTCCCAATTCCAGCTCGCCCACCCCCGTCCGTGCCTGGCTGGGCCAGCCGTGTTGTCGCCCCTCTTCCTAAGACCTCGGATGTGTCTAGCCACAGGTGTGTATACTTCTGTTTGACGCCAGGTGTTAGAAAGGGATTATGTTATCCAAGCAATCACAAACTTATCCGGTTTGAAAAATGTATGTGAGAGACAAAAGCTGTATTTTTTTCAAAGAACAATTCCCAAAAGACAACATACATTTTCATGCGTCGGCAGCTCTGTCTTCCGCCCGAAAGTGCTTCTCTGGCCTCCTGTCTCAGCGGAGTCCCAGAGGTGTCCCACAGGCTCCGCATTCACTGGCATCATCACGCTACGTAACCTGTAAACATTCATTCAGCCACATTATCACCCCTAGAAAAACATGACAGTCCCGTAAACTGTGAGTTTTTGCAGTTTCCTCTAGGAGATTTTAGAGTCTAATTTAAAGGCAGGAATTTCACTTTGTACTTCTTTTTAGATCTTGCCGACCAGCGCTCCCTCTTCTGGTCACGTCTAACTGAGCTTGAACTTGGCACGGTGTTGCTCTCGGGGGTAATTGACAAGTTGTAGGGTAGAAGGGGTCCCCACATGGGGCTTCCACGTCCCGATTTTAGCTGACGCTTCCTTCATTAATTCTCACAGTGACACTGCTCTTTTAACACATTTCTGAAATAAATACTTCTGGAACTCCCAGGTGGTATGAGATTTGGCAGATGGATGCACTCTCTGGGTTCACCAGATAGAGAGGTGCCAGCCCCAAAATCAGTTGCTGTTTTCTTTCTCCCATCAGGCCACTCTTCTAATTTTTCAAAGGTCCCCCCCCAAAATTAACGTTCACTAAATTTGCTATCTTTGGGGACTTCTGAGTAAGAAGAGCTCCTGAAAGAATACAGATGGTATGGTACCGCTACACAAAGCAGTTAAACCATAGCATCCTCCTCATCAAGAGCTCACCTACAAAACCAAAAGCGCACGAAGAAGAATGGAGGAATTATTTGCTGTAACGAAGAGCTATTCATTAAAGAGGCAGGTGCACTAGCTGACAGGGACAGGGAGGAGTTGTCTTCCCAGCTGTCATGACCTAGCAGGCGAGCTCAGCTAGAGCGTGGATGACAGCAGCCGGCGTCCGGGGCCCAGACAGGGCGTAGCCAACCGCAGCATCAGACACGCGTGAGCCAGGGTGGGAGCCAACCACACGGACCTGCAGCAACTTTAAACTTCGTCTCCATTAGATTTGAGAGGAACTTTGTATAACAGTCCGGACTTCCAACTAGAGAGGACGAGGAGGAAAGGTAGGAGGAACGACCGTGCCCGTCAAGCAGAAACAGCAACGTGAGGAAAAGGGGAAGAGCTCCTGAAGGAGCGATGACAACACCTCTGAGAACCAGCACCCGAGGCTGAGCCCAGTCCGTCGCAAACAGCCTCGCTGAGCTTGCCCGCCCCTCCCAGGATCAGGGGCGGGAGTCTCCTCGGCCCGCCCAGGGCCCCGGCGCTGCTGCGGGCGCTGGTATCTGCACAAACACAATGATTCTTTAACGTTAGAAAGCGTTGTGTTGCTGATGCTCCCAGGTATTGCTGCGTACCCGGATCAAGAAATGCTATATTTGCTCTCGGAATGGACCGGAAGCTACATCTCACTGGCTGTTTCTTCCTGTGGATTTTATGAAACACCCGATACCACGGTTTTCAAAGGCTCTGATTAGATAAGACTCAAACATTTGTCCATGAAGTTGAACCAGGAGGGCAGGCAGTTTCGCGGGAAACTCAGGGTATTTGTAAGAGTTTTTCAGAGTCTTAACTGAGCTGGTGCCTGAGGCCCTGTGGAGGCAGACGGGAGGGTCAGGTAGACTGGGAAGGTCTGGCCCTGGGCTGGGGAACAGACCCTGCGGGTGTGCAGAGGCAGCGAGGCCCGCCCACCCCGGGGTAAGGGATGGTTCTGGCCAATCGTCACTGAGACCACAGAGGCAGAGCTGAGGAACAGCGTACACTCCCCGTATGTAGTGCTGGAGTTCAGAGACGGGGCTCCCCTTGTAGAGGTGCCATGGCCCCCGTGAGGCCCCTCGGTCCCTGTTCAGTCCCGTGGAAGCACCGCCACCTCCCTCCTGGGCGGAGCCTGGAACGAGAGCCAGGGGGCTGCGAAGCCGCCCGGGTGCGAGCCCCCCCGCCCCCCCCACTGGGTATTTCTGCCCTGTGCATTTCCATCAGTTCAAGTTCAAGGTACTGCTTCGGCCGCGTGGTGGGAGCTTTCAATGGCCAGAGCTGAGCTGAAAGGCGTCCTGCGTGGAGGACAGAGCTCAGCATCTCAGGAGGAGGCTGCCTCGGGGAGTCTCAAAGCGTGAGGGCCGGGAGAGCTACCGAGACACCAGCTGAAGATCATCAGATCAGCCTCAGCGGCCACCGCGAAAAGGCACTGGCGGTGGCATCGCCCGGTCCCCGTTTCCTGGGGCCGGGGGCGGGGTATATGTGTGAGTGTGTGAGTGTGTGTGTGTGTGTGTGTGTGTGTACGTGTGCGTGGGAAGTGAACGCGAAGCGAGCGCACACATGAAAATCCTCAGGCTCCTCTGGGAACAGCACTGACCTCGGCCTTCGTCTCATTTCATGACGATGAAATACGATTTCAGTTAAACCATTTCCCCTCCTCAGAAGCACACTGCAGCGAGCTTGGAGGTTTAGAGCTGCCCGCCGTGAGACTGGGCAGCCGCAGGAGAGCAGAGGTCCCCATCATGACCCGTGCGCTCATCGCGTACAATTTCTGCCAAAAGGCGCTATTAATCTCCTGCGTTTCCAGATCCATACTGGCCGCACGGCGACCTCGGGCATCCTGACCTCGGCTTTGGGGGTGGCTCTTCTATGCTGCTCAGGACTGTAGACAGAAGATGTGTCATAAAAGCCAAACTGTTGGGTTTATTTTTTTGTGTGTCATAGGGCTCACGTGTCGGTTCACAAGTTCTTTGGGAACCGGTGGCTCATTTTCCTGGCCTCGGGCGGGCCCGCGGGGGGAGGGGCAGGGCCTGCCGCGGCAGCTTCCTGCGGTGATGGACCAGCGTGGGGCATCACTCGCTCGGAAACGCAGGGGTTCGCGCCGCCCTGCATGCACGGCATCGTGGGCGTAAAGCACACGCCGTCTCGCCTTGCAGGTTGTTTTCCAGCCTCAGCATTATCACCGAGCTCACGCACCCCGCCAACATGCGGTTCATGCAGTTCCGAGCCAAAGACTGCTACTCCCTCGCCCTCTCCAAACTGGAAAAGGTAAGCCGGGTCTCGCTGTTGGGGCGTGGAAGAAATAACTCGGGGGTTGTCTACACGTAGAAAGAAATGCCGTGAGGTAGTAAAAATAAAAATGCTGCTTTGAATTCCTATCGGGGCCAAACTCTTCATGTGTAGATTTTTTTTTTAACGTGAATGAATGGAGTGGAACTATTTTTATCCCAAGTGAACATGCGGGAGACCCCGTGTCCCCTGCGTGGTCATCTTGTGCCACTGACACTTCTGGTAATGAAGCCACGCAGAGCGAAAAACGCGACAAGGAATAGTAAAATAGGAACGGGGATGACAATAACAGAAAAAAAACAGACATTTTCATCTCATTGCCCTCTGGACTTACTATTTTCCCTTGTTTGGGTGCACCTCCTAAAGTAGCCTTCCGCTCATGCTTACGGCACCACTGGCTGGGAGACTGCTTCCTTCACAAGTGCTTTTGAACTTCACCCCCTCCCCCAGTGCCGATGAAAGCCCGACTTGAGCAATCACAGGGTCATCACACACTGATGGCAGAAGTGAAGGAACAGCAATGTGAGGTTCACAGGGTGGTGCAATCAGAAAAGGAGATTTGGTCTCTGTCCCCGGCCCCGACACAGAGCTTCAAGGAACCCTGGGAACTTCCTGAGTGATGGGCGGGCCCTTTGTTGGCCAGACCTTTCCGTCTTACCTGATTTGATGCTAACGAGGCGGGTCCTGGAGGAGCCCGGAGGTAGTTCAGAGATAAGGCCGGTTCCCAGAGGAAAAGGCCCCACTTGCTTACAAGGTTGAAACTGTCAGCCCCTCATCACACCCCAGCTCCAAGGAGGAGCTTAATCGTATGGCTAATGGTCTCATTAACTATGCCTACATAATGAGACTTGGATGAAAAGCTCTGAAAAGCAAGACTGCAGATGGTCCTTCTTGGTGGACATAGTGACAGAAGAGGGGCATGCCAGAGGGACAGTCTTGTGCCTGGGGACCCTCTGCGCCTCCATGGACACACCTTCTCATCCGCTGTCCCTTCGAGTTCTTTACAATAAGATGGCCGTCCCGAGGTGCAGCACGGCCACCAGGTCTGTGAGCACTGCAGCAACCTCAGAGCCTGGCAGGGGTGTGGGAGGCCCCGGATGTGTAGCTGCGTGGACGGAGGTGCCGCTGGCTTGGAGGAGCGTCGGGAATCGGAGCAGTCTCGTGGGGCTGGGTCTCGTACCCTGTGGGGCTGGAGCCACGCCTGCGTAGTAGTGCCAGCGTGGGCCTGAATTCAGGACGTCCAGTTAATGTCAGAGCATTGATGTAGGGGCGCAAGTAGTCATGAGTGTAAACCATAGTGAACCAACATAGAGCAAAGGGATAAAAACAAACAAACAAACAAATGGAGAGAGCTTCTGGGAGAAATAAGCAAGAATATCAAAGCTGTTTTTAAATATATTCACTAGGCAAAATTTTACACATTCTCGATTTAAATTCAAGCCAATACATATTTACTGGGCACCATGAGCCGAATACCTTGGTGCAGGCTGGGAGTCCCACAGACGAAACGCACAGCATTTACGGTCTAACAGGCGACACAGATGCATACAAACCAACAAAAGCATGTGGTCTCACTTTGTTTTTCCCCTTTAACGGGCTGGACCGCTGTGTATTCATAATCTCAGGACGAGACCGGCTGAGTGGGGGTTCGGTGCTATCCCCCCACGCCGGATTTGATTCCTTAGGAAAATTCCTTACCTTGTTTTTAAGAAAACACTTATCTTTTTTCACATCGGCCCAGAAAGAATTTGAAGAGAATACTGATTAGTTTCTATTTCTTTTAAGTGTAGGGAAATATTGCCCAACCTAGTCTAAGGGAGTGACAAATGTAACTTATACGGACAACTATTTTCATGTGCAAATGTATCTGTTAGAAATAGAGTATCATGACTTTACACAGCAGTTCAAGCTGCCACTGACCACAGGTCTGTGTTCCCTTGGAATTCACCTGTTGAAACTTGACCCTTCACCCGCTGATAGGAGGAGGCGGGGCTTCAAGGAGGCCACCTGGCCTTGAGGGTGGGGCTCCCGGTGAATGGGAAGGATTCAGGATTTTGTAACAGGCACCCTGAGAGCTTCCTCGGCCCCTGCCCTGGCAGGCAGGTGAGGACACAGGGGGAAAGCAGGTGGCTGTGTATCCTTGAGGCATCTTTGTCGGTCTTTGGTGTCAAGGTAATGATGTTGTGATAAAGTGAGTCTGGAAGGGCTCTCTCCTTGTCAACACGTGGGACGATGCGTGAGGAGGTTTACCTGGGCAGGAAGGTGTGAACGCAGGCTGCTCACCCACGTGTCTCTCTCACACTTCTGCACAGAAAGAACGAGAGCGCGGTTCTAACTTGGCTTTCATGTTCCGACTGCCTTTCGCCGCCGGGAGGGTGTTCAGCATCAGCATGCTGGACACACTCCTCTACCAGGTGCGTGCCCTTTCTTCTTGCCTCTCTGAAACGAAATGTTTGCTTGCTATTCCGCTCAGGCTTTATTACATACATGGTAGATCTAGTGTTTCGCGTCCGAGCGGTTCACTTAAAACTGGCTCTGAAAGTGATTCAATATTTTATTGCATGTATTTAATGACATAAAATTTAATGAAACATTTTATAAGAAAATCTTGGTTTTTTTTTTAAGAATAAGCTAGGGAATGACTTATTGGCATTCTTCAGTGCCAGGGTCCTACAATGTTAACTGTGACATCTTAATGCATGTGCTATGTTGCCACCGTCATAGCACCAGCCTAAAAAAAAAAAAAGCTAAGAAAACTTACTACTTTTAAAAAACAGCCTTAATTATAATATGCCTTTTACTTAAATACAATAGATTGGTGCCAATAAACTGATAAACCAAGGATGTTTTAAATATCTGCTAACTATTGCCTACCTCAGTCAAATATAAGAAAGATTTTACAGGTGAGAACCATTTTGATTATTCTGGAAGGCCAAAGCTAACCTTGTCATTTTATTGTAGCTAAGAAGTTCACGGAGATGCTATTTTACTCAAATCTATTTTAATCTTTTTTTCTAACTCTCCCAGAAACTGAGCAGCGGTAACATTTCAAATCCTCTGATTGAAAAAATCAGACAATTCCTATCTCCATTATGAGAAAAAAGATATTCCTAGGGTGTTAAATGATTAGATGGCTTGAATCTCAAGTTCAGCATTGAAACATTTCGTTGTGCTGATTTACTGTTTGGCGACATGTTCCATGTGCCCTCTAGTGCATTGCTGGACGGAATGAACTAAGGCAAAGACAGCTGAAGGCTTTCTAGTGGCTAATGATGCCCCCGAGGGCTCCCCTACCAGTGTCACAGGTCTCGAACCATCAGCTTGTGCCAGCCGAGAGCAGGGACAGCCCAGCCCAGAGAACTAACACGCCCGTTTGCCCAGAAGTTTCCAGACACACTGTGTGGACCCTGCAGGCGGCCGGCTTCCCCCTCCGCCCCCCAAAGTTACCCCGCACATACTCTGGCCATGGAGAGCGGGTGGGAGGGGAGGACTGTTTCAAGAGCAATGCCGAAACAGAAGGATTTTTATCAGCTAAATGCGGGCATCCCTCTGCACCAGAGGTCTTCAGACCTTTCAGCCTCGGTAGCTCGCGGTGAAATAAAATCTTCTTGAGAACAGTCTAACATACAGGCTAACGTAGTACCTGCCCACTTACCTTCTCCTGACATCCCATGAGATCTTTTCAGGGTCCGACTTTCAGACAGGTAAAGAGTACCCACTCCTGGGTTAAAAGAAGATGCTGGAAATCATGTACAAAATTCCTAAACTTATATAATCCGCATTCTGGTATTCATGTCCCAGCCTCCAGGAGACTGACGCACCTCGAAACCTCGGCCACTTCCGAGGAAGGCCACTTCCTCGGCCTGAGCAAGGGGAATGGCTGTGGTTTCTTATGTCCCGCTCTAGGTGGAAGGGTGCAGCCTCGTGACAATGACTCTCGCTGAAATACATGAGTGATCAAGAAACAGTTTGGTAGATTTATTTACAAGGCATCATAACTTGTTGAAAGTCTTTGCTATGCAAAATAAGTAGATTATTCTATAAGGAAGGGGAAGGGAGGGCAAAAAAGATTAATGTGAGAAAGAAACGTTAATCATTTGCCTCTCACATGTATCCCCAACCAGCAACTGAACCTGCAACCCAGGCGCGTGCCCTGGCCAGGAGTCAAACCCTGGAATCGAACCAGGGACCGTTTGCTTTGCGGGAAGACACCCAGAACCAAGCCACACTGGGCAGGACACAGATTATTGTTGAAATTTGTCACATTTTAGCACTTGACGACCAAGCTGAGAGTATAATTTCACACAGTTTATTAAACAATTGTTGTTATGTTATGGTGCAATGCCCTCATTGCTTGGAAGTTTTTCCTTTCACCCACAGCTAAGAATTAACTGAAAATATTAGAAGGATCGTTAACACTCTAACTACTGCATAGCATTCTAGCACCATGTCAAAATATATCTTACATGTTTGCACATAAGCAGTCTGATGGTATTTAATGCTAAACTATTTATTAATACTTAGTTATCAAAATATTAGAAATTTATTGTAGTAGCACTGAGCTGAATCCAAAAAATGTGTAGTATTTTATTGCAAATTTTAGTTCTTTCAAGTTTTTATATATTCCCTGTTTTGTATCAACTCATTTGTTGTTATTAAAATCTAAAACTTTGTATTGTGTCTAATAGCATGCATGAAATTTTAGCATAACAAGATAGTCTAGAAAATATTTCTAAATACTCCCACATCTCCTTATGTTCAGCTTAACTGTACATGTGTATTTAGGATGCTCATAAGATCAAGTTTTATTTCCTGTTTTGTAGGGGCTTAATGATATGTTTCGAGAAACAACCTTTTAGCAATAGTACGAGGCTCACATGTGTGGCTGTTCTACACCTTTCACAATTTTGTTTGTGTTGCAGTCATTTGTGAAAGATTATATGATTTCTATCACCAGACTTCTGCTGGGATTGGACACTATCCCAGGATCGGGGTTCCTTTGTTCTGTAAGTTAATAATCTTTGGAATGAAAGATTATGCTGATAAATGGTCTGAAATCCAACTCTAATGGATATAGGCTTTCTCTTCTATATCATTTTTTCCCTAATATGCACTGAAAGCATAGCACTATCGATTTTTTTAATTTCTTATAAAACGTTAAATTAGCAATCCTGATAAGTAGCCATTCTGTAGAGAATACAGAACAGGTGTTTTTCTTTCTTGCTGGCCATTGAGACAGGCTGTGTCTGACCTAAGATACCCTACTGTGGACAAGAAGGAATCACATGGTTCAGCTGATCTGTAGTTGTTTTACAAAGGGGTACACTGCGTCCGAGAGGGTTTCATGAAGTGCCTCACCGGCAAGTCCAAGTTGAGGTCATCCAAGACGGACGAGTTATGTATGCCTCCCGTCCGTGTGTCCCGTGCCCACTCTGCTGACACCTTTCCCAATATGAGTGTTGTCCTCACTCCGAGGGGCGATTCCCTTTCGTACCAGAGTGCCCTTCGTACCTGAAGACTTTTAGCACCAGCAGACCCTGTCCACCACACTCCGGTAGTAGCCTCTAGTTATTACAACATTTAAGAAGTCTCCACGGGTTTTCCAACAGCTCCCAGTCCCTCGGCGGTGACCACTGTGTCCTGACACTGAACCAATCCAAGTCACACTGCCGCCAGTTGAGCAGGTGGCCCCTTAGGTTGGGAGAGCCGCAGGGATAAGACTGAGATGCGGTGCGTTAAATGAGTTTACTACCTGGATAGGCACTTAGGAAACAGCATGCCCAGATTTTGAAATATCAACAATTTCTACCTTTCAGAAGTGAAAACCGCTAGGGTTTTAGTTCTTGAGAAGAGGATATGTAAACAATGCCTGTGTGTTCCAGATAAAAATCACGGAGGACGACCTGTGGATCAGGACGTACGCCCGGCTCTACCAGAAGCTGTGCTCGTCCAGCGGAGACGTGCCCATCGGCATCTACAGGACCGAGTCGCAGAAGCTGACCACGTCTGAGGTTTGGGCCGACACAGTGTTCGGTGCTTGCGTTTAACCCGCTGGGAGGCCGCCATTCCCAGTCTCGGCCACTGATTTCTGACAAATGTCACAGAAACAAAAAGGATGCTGTCGGAGCAGATGGAGGGGGTTTTCCCATGCAAAATCTCCTCAAGTGTTTGTTCAGTAAACTGCGCCAGCATTTCTCAAAATGTTGTTGGCTGAGGGCCTGTTCTAGAGTTTGTGAATCTGAGGCTCCCAGGGTCTTGCGTAGGTGTAGGATTTTTCATTTCCAGGAGATTGTTGGGGAGCAAATTAATCGTGAGTGAACTTCTGATGCATAAGAAAGGTTGTTTTCCACCTTCCTAAGAGACTCCCCCTGTCCGCTGTTAGCGTTTGGAAGGGAGCAAAACCAGGCCAAACTGGTGAGCCGTGTAACAAACGTTTTTCAAAGTTCTGGTTGCAGACCACCCTGGGGCCCAGGAAAAACTCTTGTGGCAGTGCCAGCCCTTCCCGGAGGGACGCTCGGTGATTTGGGAAGCACACTAGAGAGACAGCAGCGGTGTAGGTAGAGTTTCTGATGCTGCATGCAGACCCAAACTTACCCATATTTTGATTTGGGCACATGATGTGGTTCTAAATAGTTTATAGTTAGTAAACCATCACATTTCAAACTAGACTCTTTAATAAGATACAGACTTTGAATAAATGCACTGCCCTATCTGTATCTGTAAAAGCGTTTCATATAAATGATGGTCTACATTCTTAACATATTTTTCTCTTTCAGATACCTCAAAATTACTTGAAAATTTAGTTACCACTTCTTTCTCCTTTGGTCTTACACAAAGTTACCTCAGCTATAAGCCTCTACTCAGTTATATGCATTTTAATAGTCCATGTGATGGTTAAACGCATTTGTGATCAAATCAATGAATCCTTGTACACACAGGAGCTTTCTAGGAAGAATAAAAGTAAGGGAGCTTTTCGTTTACTGTTAAAACCTAGAGTTTGACTTGAAATGGGTGGCATGGAAGCCAGCAGAAATAGTTGTGTTTGCCTGAGGTGCTTTGGGGTCTCCCTGTAGCTGCAGGATCCCGTTCACACTTCCTTCTGGCCACCTGCTGCTGAGCCTGAGTACGTCCCGCATTTACTATGGTCCCTGCGGTTCACACCCCCCCAGAAAGCAAGACCCAATTAGAGAAAACCAGGAATGAGTGACAGCAGACACACAGCAGGCAGTTAAACATGGGAGCATATGTGGTCAGATGTGCCTAGAATTTTAAGAATATTGGACCTCCCAAATCATTATCTGGTTAAAGTTGATGACAAGGGCCTTTTACACCTAAGCAATTAACCGTTTCATATTTGAACCTGGTGAAGTACCGAGAAGATTTCCATACTGCAGAGTATTGTCATGTTCAGACCTTATATGCAGGCTTTGTGAGTTTGAACAGAGTGAATTCTGATGTTGGTCAAGTTCATATTCGTGTCGGTTGTTTTGTTGTTTTAAGGGACTTTGTCTTATGTTGTTTAGGATGCAGATAGGGAGAGGATATTTGAGCTTTTGGGTTGCTATTGAGGAGCATTCAACTTTACACATTAGTCAATTCTTTCCATCACAAATAAAGATCACCTTAAGAAAATGTTTATAAATCTCCATATAAAAAACACTTATTGTTGGCAAGATAAAAGGAAACTGGGTTAAATAAACATACCATCTCCTATCTTCCTGTATTAAACTCATCTTTTGGCACATATATTTATATTTAAATTTTATATTCTGCCTATTATAAAAATTAGAATTTAAATAATTAAAGATAAAAGTAAGACCATCAAGCATTCAGAGAAATATATGGGGGCAGAGAAATTAATTTTACCCTACATCTAAAATGAACTGGCTGCCACAGGTGAGCTGGAATTCTACTTTATTTCAGTGGTAAATAAAGTGAAAATAGAACTCTTGCACTAAATAATAATTGTAGTCTAATGACATGCAAGGATACAAGTTCATCTTGAGAAAGAGTTGTTTTTCGGGTCACTATGGAAACAATGAGAATATTACATGTTTCTCATTTACGAGATTTATAAACCATGAGATACAGGTTCTAACTTCGGTCGGGGTTTTCCAGGATGCGAAAGAATCATTAGAATAAACATCCCTTCAGTCGAACTTCTATGTAAATAAAAAGAAGGGGGCAGTATTTAAATATCAATTCAGGAAAGACATTGGATTTTTTAATGGAAACTGGACCCATGTAAGAGGACAAGGGAGTCCCCCGGTTGGTAATGAGGGGACATCAGGGATAAAGAGCAACCTGGAGCAGATCGAAGGCTTCGGAGACATTTGTCCAGGAAGATGACATTTGTCATCTCCATGTTCGGACAGAGATGAGGCCATTGCCCAAGAGTGAGGGTGAACTATTGATAAATGCATACCTAAATAGTCAACTGGTGAAATGGTTATGACTCAAGGAATACAATTCTACCACCACCAACAAAAATCATACAGGAGTGAATGGCCCCCATGCTTCCTGTGGAGCTCATCTGTAAACTGTACTCAGTGATAGCACGCTCTGAATTTTGATCTAACCAAAGTTACACTTGAACAATTTTGAAATAAGGAGAGATGGAAAAGGTAGTGGGATAGGTGGAAAAGATGGTTAATTCCTCTTCTTCCAGAATAAGAAGAGAAAATCAATAATAGCTACCAACATATTATATAGAGTCAGAGCGATAAAAAACAACTATCCAACTAAAAAGGTAAACATAGATGCATCCTATGAGAGGAAAATAAAAGAGATTATTGGGTGAATTTCTAGAAAAATAGCATTCTCTATTTAAACAATATCTATAATTAATAAAAACAACAACTAAGATTCATAGCCATTAATAAGTCATATTAGACCCAATCATTGGTTGTTTCTGCAGTTTATACATTCAAGTGTTAAATTCTATGTTATTCTGCAAAGAATGTTCCCTCAGAGGCCAACATTTCATATATGTTGATTATAAAGATGGTAGGCCTTTCTTCCTTATTATTTCAGAGTTAAAAAATGCATTTCAAAGGCAGATGCAGGTTTTCATGTTATGCCATTTCCAGTTTGTCTCCCGTATCTTCCAATATTCTATGTAGAAAACAAAATTTTGTGAACTACATCACTGCTTTGTCTGTAGGAGTGGAAAACACACCGGATCGTATGGAAGACACCTTTGAGAAGACAAATGGTGATAAAGGATATTCATCATTAAAATTATACAATGTGTAGAAGACCTGGAACACGATCTCCGTGTTTTCTGGGGGGCTATGTGTGGGTGGGAGGAGGACAGAGAGTAAAGTGGGGGTGCAACAGTGACAGGGAAATCAGGCCAGGAAACGGGGACAGCCCCTCTGCCCTTTTTGTCCATGCCAGGGGAACTACCAACATCGATGGGTCTATTTTTTGTAAACATCATTCTCTTCTGGTTCTTCCACCCAGTACAGGATGGGGAAGGACTCATTTTCCTCTTGGTGGCAGAAAAGAACAGTATTTCTGTCCACAACCCTTTATCCACAATTCTGAAATCCAAAAAGCTCACCAAACTTATTTGGTGGCCAAACTTCACCTGAATTGTCCTGAGACTATGATGTTCCTTATTCCAGTGACTATCCACACTTTTCACTGAAGAAATAATCATTTTTATTATAAAATGCTACCCAAAACCCACTAAGGGTATAACTGACCATAAAGTATATAACACAGTACTATCTTTCCAACATCTGAAAAATTATGAATTAGTTAATGTTTCTATCAGGTTTTTTTTGGGGGGGTGAGAAAATATAGAACTGTGTTTTCCCTCAGTATTCCAGTGTACTGAAAATTGCATTTGCTTAAAGTGTCATATAATCAGTAAAAAATACACTATAAATTAGAAAGAGATTATTTTAAAGCACATGAAAGTACCAACCTTTGCACAACACATGCAATAAATCGGTGGCCTACTTCAGTCTGATTGTCGGTTGCCTTCAGAGGCAATAACTCCTGTACCTTTAAAAACGTGTTTATAATGCAGTGATCATGACGGCCCCACCTACCAATGATTATGCCTTTACTATTAAACTGGAACATAGAGTTTTATTACATTTGATTAATATATCAATAAAAGTTTACCTTCTATAAAATCAAATTATTAAGAATATTTTACTAAGGGTTAAAATGGAATGATTTTGAAACTCTCGCTGCCAATTTCCTGCTATCACTCACTCCAACGACATCCTGAGATAAAGCTTTAAGGAGCCTATAATCAAATGTCTATTGTGCATTTTTAATATTTGTAACAATAGTTAGAATGCGAGACAATGAGCTATACTTCAGTTACATTCTCTCTCCCAACACATAACTGAAAACTTCACTGCTACCCAATGAAATGTCTTAAAACTGAAGAATAAGATAGCATAATTTTTATAACTCTGAATAATTAGGGTTATGTGATAACTGAGCAGATCAGTTATCAGACTGTGTGGCCAGTGTGAAACCTCACAGTAGTGTTTGTGAGCTTAGTTCAACTTATACAGGAGGGAAAGACAATCTTATTGTAATATCTGAGTTTTAAAATTTTTAACTTTATAAAACCATCTTAAGATCCACATTTAAAAATAGTACAGATATTAATGCCACAGTGATTATTGAATATCAATAATTATATCAAATATTTCCTTGTGAATATAGTAGTTTCATCACCTCTTATCAACTGTTTTATTTTATTCTATTTGCAATCGTTATTCTTTCTATCAAATCTTAGAAAGACAATTTTTAGCAGAAAAAACAAACAAAACCATAAATTGAAGCCAAAAAAAATCTAACAAGAACAACTTTCTAGTAAACTTTACATTTTATTAATTTTATAATTCCATTCAAAAGCCCTGTGATCAATAATCAAACGCAGAGGTCACACACGGCGCACGGCCATCTGTCAGAGTTCATCCTCACTGCGGCTGTTTCGTGGATTTGTCCAGTCATTGTCTAAGCTGCGCTTTGTTGTGTG